CCTCCTTTTTGGATCAGAAAGGATAAATCCAAGTTTACTGGGAAAAATCATCAATAATGCTAATAAAATATTTGCAGTTCCTTTCAGTTACAAATGGAACAAGCCCCAAACATCAGAGTGAACAATGTGGAAAGGAGAAGATGCTCTTTTATTATTTTGTCAAAAATGGTTCTACAATGATTACTCGATTGACACATTTTTCCGAAAAGATGACATATTGACAGATTTAAACAAATTTGGAAACAAAACTTTTAACAGCTCAAAAGATAACTGACCAAGATGATAATGCCAAACATAAACATCATCTTTATTACAAGGACTCACTGACTGATTGGCAAACCCAACAAACTTAGACACCACTGCACCATCTCCACTCTCTAGTGTGTATAGACCATCCACCATGTGCCCTCTACCAGTCATTCTCTTGGAAGTTAAATCCTGAAAAATACATGAATGAGGATAGGAGGTTACTAAACAATTCAAGGAGTTTGTAATGCTACCTATAGATAGAAGATTGATAGGTAATTAGGCACATGAGTAATAGGTGATAAATCAATACCCATAGGAAGAGAGACAAATCCTGACTAGCAATGGTGGAGAAGGAACCATCAGCCAGTCTCACCATATCTCTTCTATATAACAAGTTATAGTAGGAAAACAAGTTGGGCTTACCAGTCATGATTTGAGGTCCCCGAGTCGATGATCCAAGGAGTCTTAGTGGGACTAGATGACACATGGAAAGCAGCTTGGTTACTTGATGTAGACACAAATGAGGTGGGTGGAGTGATGGTGGTCTCCTCCAATTGATGCAAAACCCTACCATATTGGTTAAGATGATCTTTGATGGTAGAAAATTCCTTCATGGCAGACAAAAGCCCCTCTCGAGATACAGAACCAGTCGAATGCTCATGAGAAATAATTGGAGGTAGTGTCAGACTCAGTCTCCCGAGAAACTGTATTTGCTGAATTATACTTTTTGTTCTCGAGCTTATTCTGGAATGGGAAATTATTAGGCTTCCTAATTATGTCCCAATATGTCTCCTTGGTATGTCATGGTCTCTGGCAATGTGTACACCACAACTTACCTTTATCAACTCTACCAGCCTTCTTATTACCATCTGTTTTCTTAGCTCCCCCATTACTTCTCTTAATTGCTAGAGTAATCTGCCTCCTCTGTACAGGACCCATAGCTAGCTTCCTACTTTCTTTTGACTGAATGAGAGAATACCCCTCTCGTATAGAGGGCAGATCCTAGCAGCCCAAGATCTGAACATGAATAGGTTCATATAAAGGATGGAGGCCAAGAGGGAAAGCATACACTCGCTGTATATCCACCAGTGCCTTATATGCTTTTATATCCTTGTCACTTTCCCAATTAATCTGCTGATACTGGTCTAGTTCCTTCTAGACTGCAAAAGTTAAATTCTCTTTTGCTGATCAAAAAAAAAAAAAAAGAGCAGGCAAATTCTTGTCACCTTGTTTACACATATTAGATTCAGCCAACAACTGATAGACCCGAGCATGGTTCCTTTGTTCAGAATAGGTTGTCTTGACCTGATCCTAAATCTCCTTACTTGTGTCTGCCCACATAAAGTTTTTCCTCAAAGAAGGGTGAATTGTGGACAAAAGCCAAGATAACAGTTGATTTCCTCACAAAGACTGGAGATAAAGATGTAGTGCTTGAAACTGCTGAATCTTCTATAACCATGATAACACTCGATTTCCTCACAAAAACAAACCTCCTTTTTTGCTGAAAAAAACACTAAGCGGAAACTAAACACTTCTGCTGAACTGGAACCTCAGTAAAACGGAAGCAAATTTTCTGTATAACAGGCTTAACAAATCATCCAACCACAAAAACAAACCCAGGGAGACAGTTTCTACAACCAGTCAGCTGTCTTCTTTGATGTAAAAAGAAGGTTTACACCTTCAGATCTGAAACACACTCCCAGATCTAAACCCAAGACCTTGAGGATTGAGAGAACATATCCAGCAACTCAAAACAGCATTCACAATTCATTTTCACCCAAAAACATTGCATACAGATTGCCAAACAGCACTTGGGATACACCCAGGAAGAAACTCAGACCATATGATCCAAAAACAGCATCTAGAGAGACTCACCTGATCCTTATTCCTTCATCATTGATGCTTTGTCACCAAAAAATAAGTCTCAATTGGAGCTATGATCAAGGAGAAAAGAAAGGGAAGAGAGAAAGTTGTTCCTGACCAGTTCGATCTTCCTTTCCTTTTTTCAGTTACAGGTCCAAAAAAGGATTGTTCAGGACAAAAAGGAAGAAAGCTGTTTCTGATCGATCACTCCTACTTCTGATACCATGTAAAACATGGTATCGGAGAGAAGAAAAGAAAACAAAGAGAAGGGGGAGAAAAAGTTCTGATGAAAGAAGAATCCAATTATGTGGGCCTCCATTTCTTTTATTATAAAATAGGGTGACATAAAACAGGAGGAAAACACACAAATACCCTTGATCCTACAAGTAATAACATCTTAACAGTAGACTACCACAGAAGCGATGTTGAGTTAATGTTCTTCACCACCTACTCTAACAGCTTGGCTGCACTTGATAAAACAAGCATTACTCTTCTCGACACTCCTTTTATACTAACATGAAACAAAATATATAAGATGGAATAAATACCAAATAAATTAATAACCTTCTTCAAACTTGATTAGTTAAAATGCAATGCATAAGAAGGTGATGTTAGACAGTTGTATGCCCTTAGCTCCAATCAGAATGATGTACATTATGAATTTATTGTAAATGAATAAAGTACATATTTGATTCATATTCCTGTGGTGTGTTTCTGTGTAATACTCTTAAACTGAACACTTATGA